CCCAGTGCCCTCCCGAACCGCTTTGGGGGCAACAGGAGGACGGAGAGGAGAAGGGTGAGAAAACCGCTGTCGCCATCCCAGCCGGGACTCCACACTGCCTGGCCTCACCCTCCACCCATCCGATGGAGCCGCAGTGGGGGCTGATGCCGTGTGGCCTGCCAGCCGCTCCGCCAGCCCGGCTGCTCCCCCCAGGCACCCCTCTTCCTCCCGGTGCCCGCCCGAACCGCTTTGGGGGCAGCAGGAGGAAGAAGGAGAGGAGAAGGGTGAGAAAACCATTGCTGCCATCCCCGCGCTACCCGGCCTCGCCCTCCACCCATCCGATGGAGCCGTGGTGGGGGCTTGTGCCACACGGCCCGCCAGCCCCTCCACCAGCCCGGCTGCTCCCCCCAGGCACCCCTCTTGCCCCGGCACCCGCCTGAGCCACCTTGGGGGCAGTAGGAGGAAGAAGGGGAGGAGGAAGAGGATGGCAAGGAAGCCGCCACCAGCGCTGGGCCCCAGGAGGTGGCTCTCCTCTCCTACCTTTGCTGCATCACCTTCTTCCTTCCCAGCAGCCTGGACTCCGGCGTGCCTTCCTGACCAATGGGTCCAATGGTCGGGCTGGCTAGGGATTGCAGTGGCTGGTCTCCCTTGGGCCGCGGTTTGTGGGAGGGCTGGCCCACTCAGCAGAGCCTCCAGCGGGCTGCTCCCAACAGGGATCCCGAGGCTTACCCGGGCGGCTCCAAGGCCACGAGGCCCTGGCCGCACTTCTCCCAGGGGGTGGAGCACCTGAGCGCAGGGCCAATCAGGAGTCCTGCAGGAGATAAGTCTGCCTGAGAGAGGGAGAGAGAGAGAGAGAGAGAGAGAGAGAGAGAGAGAGAGAGAGAAGGGAAGGGAAGCGAAAGTGCCTCTCTGTCTCTCTCTGTGTCTCTGCAAATGGTGGAGGAGGCTGTGTCTCAGTTCCTAAGACCATCAGAAATATGTGTTTTCCGATGGTCTTAGGTGACCCCTTGAAAGGGTCATTCGACCCCCAAAAGGGTCGCGACCCACAGGTTGAGAACCACTGCTCTAGTCTAGAGGAAGACATAATATGATTGATTTGTAATAACTTGGAAACAACTAGTAGAAACCAACATAGACTTGTGAGGAGCAAGTTTTAGCTTAGTAAATTAGGGGAACGTTATTAGAAAACTACAGGTGTCTTTGACTTATGACTGCAGTTGGGACCAGAATTTCCATCAAAATTAATTGTGGTTGTAAGTCAAGTCAGACCTGATTTGGGGACCATTTTTACTAAGCATTAAGCAAATCTGCACTCTTTAAGTGTGAACCCATTCTTCTGAATGGATTTTTTGTTGTTGTTGTTGAAAACCATCAAAAATCTCACAAAGTGTGATCACATGACTGTAGGATATTGCAAATGATTATAAATGTGAACCAGTTGCCAAGCACCCAAACTGTGATTACATGACTGTAGGGGTGGTGTGATGGTCATAAGGGTGAGGACGAGACCTTTTTCAGCATCATTGTAACTTCAAATGGTTGCTAAACGTATGGCAGTAAGTTGAGGATTACTGGTAGTCTAGTTCTAGGCTAAATGGCTTGGTAACCATTAGTTTGAAATTTGTCCTTTTTAGATATTTTTCATCAACTGGAATGTGATGTTGAATCATTCTGGGCCTTGTAATATTTAATATTTTTTAATTTGATAACTTGAATGAAGAGGTGGAAGAGATTTACATCTGACACAAATCAGGTTGGATAGGTAATATTTTAGAAAAGAGAAATAATATTTAAAACAGTTTTGATAGGTTAGAAAAATAGGCTGAAAAGACCTGAATGACATTTAACAGAGATAAGTGCCAAGTTCTTCTTTTAAGGATGAGGAATACCTAACTTAACAACAGTTGCAAAAAAGATCTTTGATTTTAAAAACTAAGCATAAATTAGTGGATTGCTAATTGCATCAAAAGGAGTATATTTCCCATTGAGGAAGTAATGTTCTGTTTTATTCTACTTTGATTAGATCCTATATTAAATATGGTTTCCAGGTTTGGAAACTATTGTTTCAGAAGGATTCAGTGAAGTTTGAAAGATTCTCAGAGAATTGAAAAAGACTAGAAACTAATGAAGAGAATGAAAAATCTAACTATGTTTAGTTTTACGAAGAGATTGAAGTGGGCTTCCAGTTTTGTGCAGTAGCCAAGGGATTGCGGGGCTCTGCACCCTAAGGCTGATTTTCTGCCTGTTAGGGGACCCTAAATGGGCCAAAGGTCACCCTGAAGAGGTGGCAAAGAAGGAATGAAGTCCCGTGGACCACAGAGAGATGGTGGTTGACCCGATCACTCTGGGAAATGTCTTCCAGAAACCAACAGGAGAAAGGCTAGCCTAACTTCAAAGTCTAGCCCAAGCTACAAGCAACCAAAGCCCAAAAGCACTATTTTAAGCTGATTGTAAATATTGTGTTTGGATCTGGGTAAGAACATAGATTTTCTCTATTCTACATATTAACTAATTTCCTGGGGAAAAAACCTCCGAAAGTAAGGAGGGGGATCTTTGTTCCACTCTTCTGCAGATGGAAGTGGCAAATTAAATATTTTATGGGGGAGAAATATACTGTAATGAAATGAATATAAGACCTAAATCTGGATAAGTTTGTTATTTGTCTAAAATCTCTTAAGATCTTCATTTTAAACTATGAAAATAGAAGATAACTCTTTATTTTGAAAACTGAAAAAAATGAACTGGTGCTGACATCTAGTGGTGCAGAAAGAACATATCAAGGAAAAAACAAATACTTTCCACAAGGAAGATGTATGAGATGTTGCAACTAATTCAAACAACAATGATCTTAAACCATGATGAAATTAAAAATAATTTTGAAAGTATAAATGAATCCATCTCCAATTTGATTTCATGGCAAAAAAAATTCTCAGAGGATAATAATGGAGAGGGAACAGGTAAAGCAGATAACTGAATATAAATTAGAGGACAGAGATTTAAAGATGGAACCTAATAATATAAGGAAGTATGACTTGACCCAAGTGGAGAAGGATTTACAAGAAACATTGGACATGGAAAAGATAACTTGCACTCTAAGACTACAAAATAAATCTGAGGATAAGAAAAAAGATGTGACAAAATGGATTGCAGAACTATTGGGAGTACCACAAGAAATGGGAAGACAAGAGATGATGAAAGAAACTAAGAGAGAAAGAAAAGACAGTATCTTCAATGAATATGAAGGGGCAAAATCTTTTTACAAAGACATGTTGCTTGATTTGCCTCTTATATCTACAACAACATTTGCAGGATTACGGAAAGACTCTTTGATTCAATGGAATATATTGATTGGGAAAAATGTTTGGCAAAAGAAGAGAGCTAAAGTGAGAATTGAGGAATTAGATGATGGGATGTATCAGAGGGAATATTTAAAAATTAAACTTTTAATATGATTGAAGAAATAGAAAGATTTTAGCTTAAGTAATATAGTATTCTTTCTTTTCTTTTTTACTTTGTTTTTTGATATGAGAAATATAAAAATGTTTGGGATGGTCAATATAAAGGAAATGTTTTAGATATTTAAATGTAGTTGATTTTAAGAAAGTTCCAACGGATAATTAAAAAAAAGTGTTTTGAATAGAGTTTAAAAAATAGATGATTGGATTTATTAAATAGAATATCTAAAGATTAAACATATATTTAATTATGGGTAAAAAGAACAGAAAAATTTTGGGAAAAAAAATATTAGTTTAAGAGAGATATGTATTTTAAGTAGTATATTATTTTCTTATTCTTTTCTCTCTTCTTTTTTTGTTTTTTGTTTTGTCTTTTTTTTTTACTTTTTAAGACATGAGAAATGTAAAAGTGTTGGGATGGCCTGTATGAAGAAAGTAGATTTAAATACTTAAATGCAATTAACCTTGATAAAATCTTAACCAGTAAGAATATTTTGAGCATTGTAGGGAAAACAAATTTAAATAAGAATTGTAAACAGGATTTATGATGAGGCAACTAAGATGACCAGATAGAAAAAAAGCATGATATTGATGTGAATATTATTTGTAGAAATTTTAGAAAAATCTTTATATTTAATTGTTACCTATCAAACTAATAAGAATTGTATCAATTCAAGGTTGGCAAAGAGAATATTATTGGAAGAAGAGAAAATCAAGCAAAGCTATTATGTGGACTTTGGAATATAGAAACTGATTGTTACTGATTACTTTGCAAATATAAGCCCAGACAACATGCTGTTTACCAAATATTAAAGTGTTTATGTTAAAAAAATCAATAATATATATTTTTTTTAAAAAAGAAGAGATTAAAATGGATATAGTAATATTTTTCAAATGCCTTTCTTCATATTTCATGTTATCTCCTGAAGCCCATGTGTTAAGAGCAAAAGTTTTCTATTTACTGTTCTGACAAAATTCTGATATTATCTTTTCTCCCTTCTTTTGCTATTAGAGGGAAATTGCATGTATATTTCTATATGTAACAGTGTGTGAAAAGGAAATATTAATTTTATAAAAGGGATACTTTTCACAGATAATTATTTTTATTTAATGATATTGGTTCAACTAATATCAATTCCTTTTTTTTTCTTAGTCCTACTGTTTCTTGGAATATGCCTTTTGGCAGATACTGTATATGTACAGATACACAATATAAATATGTGTCAGAAGCACATTGATTTGGGGGTGGATTGGAATTCACGGCCATGTTCCTTTCTGGGAAATACAGTAGTTTGCTCCAAAGGTTGCTAACTGAGAAAGTGAAGATGGGTTGGGCTTTTCAGATCTAAATATCTTCTGTGTTGATTTCTAGTCATTTCTAGCTCCATTCCCACATTATGCTACATTATGCTAGAAACAGCCTTTTTGAGAGCAGGGATTAGCTTAGCAAAGAATGGGAAACAGAACCTAAGTGATATTAGTCTCTGAGCTCTTTCAATCCAGTTTCTTAATTATATCATTTTTTGTTCAGTTTTAATCATCGCTTTCTCTATTTGCTACTTACAGCTTGGCTTTACATCCAAGAAAAGACATTGTTGTCACTGGAAGTGATGATCACTTATGGAAAATGTGGGCTTTTCCTAATGGGAACATTATTGTGAAGGGTGAAGGTCACACAGATTGGATTTCTGGATGCTGCTTCCATCCAAGGTAAGTAAAAATAGTTCTGGAAACCAGCATAGATTCTTTTGGGCCTTAACCTATTAAAAGTGATTACTTTCAGTATATCATAAATTTTAGTCCACATGCTTCTGTATAGGAGACCTGTCCCAATCCAATCCCTTAGGAAAGACCTTTGACTCCATTTGGTTAAAGCTAAAGTGATGCTTGCAGTAAATTCAAGCCAGCTCTGAAATCATCACGCTTGCTGGATACAAAAATAAAATGTAGGTTTGCCACCAACCCATCCCTCCCCTGTGACCAGTCCGTTTCCAACTAACCAGACCTTGCCAAGATGTTTGGAGCACTCTGAGATGTTTAGGGGTAATCCACATACATTCTGGCTGTGGGATGCTGGTACAAACAGGAACCAGCTGCTCTGGTCCTTCTAACCTGTCATTCCTCCCCTTCTGATTTCCTATCACATGCATACAAAGTTTTATTGCCTCTTCATCTTTCCCTCTTTCATCCTTCCCCTCTTCTTCTTTTGATAACAGGATGCCTGTGAGGCCCCCAAAGCCAGCCAGATCTGACATTCTGCTCCCCTCGACAGAGACATTAGTCCTGCAAAAGAAAAAAAGAGAGGGGATTTCCTAATTAACAAACAGTTCAGTGTGGTTTATCTGGGTATCAGTCATGGAATTTTTAAAGCAGTTTGGGTGCTTTAATGTTAGAATATTCATGAACAGGAAGAGTCATGTGGTAACTCAGTCAGCCAATGGGAAGAAAGTGCTACTGAGTCTGTGCAAAAAGAGTATTGAGTTAGGAGCTGGATTTCCAGTCTCAAAGTTTTGTATCTGGTCTGTCTCTGTAAGAAGTCTTCAATTAAGCTATGTTGCTGTAAAGAAGAATGGTATTGTAAATATTTTTATATAAATATAAAGTTATTTGAATCAGCTAAATGCAGTCAACTGTAAGAGCTTCTGATTTATTTTTCACCAATTAGAGAAATTAAAATTCTCTAACAGGTTATGGGCCCAGGACTTACTAATGACTGCATTGTAATTTAAAGCTGGAAGAAATTGCCTGTGTTTAGAAAGTATAACAACAAGGCAGAATTAGCAGAACGGCTGCAATGGAATTTAAAGAAAGCTCTGTGCCTCGTTTGGGCCAGAAGAATTACATTGTATGGGCTGCAAAAATGGAATGTTTGCTGAAAGCTAAAGAGCTGTGGTATATTGTTGAAAATCCACCACAAGTGTTTGCAGCAGCAGATCAGAAAAGCCATGATCAAACTATGGCTTATCTTATCTTGAATTTAGATGATGACCAATTTCTAAAAGTTGCAAATTTAAAGACTGCAAAGGAGATATGGTTGAAATTGAGAGCTGTGCAGGCTTGCAACATAGTGCAATTGTCAAGAAAACTTTACAGGGCCTGTTTGCAACCAGGTGAATCTGTGGAACAGCATTTAAATAAAATGCAAAGTTTATTTTTGGACTTAGAACAACATGGGAATAAATTCCCTGAGTCCCAGAAGGTTTTATTGGTGTTGAACAGTTTAGATAAAACCGGGACACAGTTTCTGCAATATTTGAGTGCAAAGAAGAACAAGACTTAAAGTTTGAGGCTTTAAAGGCATGTTTACTTAATGAAGAAGAAAAAGCCATTTTAGAAGCAGCCACAAGGAGGAGAAATTCCTGAGGAGGGGGTCCAGACTGCAAGTCTCCAGAGGAGAAGAAACAAGCAGACCGGACCTGGACCAAATTGCAACAAAGGAGAGATTTTGCAAGAGAGCTTTACCAGTAAAGAATTGCTACATTTGTGGAGCCAGCACACATTTGCAAAGGAACTGTTTGCAGAAAAAGACATTTGTGCAAAGAAAAAGGACTGCTTTGCAACAGGAACATTTTGGTGTTGCAAAAGTTTGCAATAGTAACAACAGAGACAAATGGTTAATTGATAGTGGGGCAAGTCAAACAATTGTTAATGAGTCTGAATTATTTTGCAGGTTTGTTCCAGTAGCACAAGAAGCTGTGGCTTTGGCAAATGGTCAGAAAGCAAAAGTCATTGGAAAAGGCAATGTAAAAATTCCATATTTGGAATCAAAGTTTACCAATGTGCTTTGTGTACCTGAGATGGAACATAATTTGTTAAGTGTGTCTAATTTAGACAAACAAGGTTTTGAGGTCATTTTTGTAAATGGGAAATGTCTCATCAAAAGGAATGGGAATATTTGTGCAGAAGGCATAGAGGAAAATAATCTATATGTATTGCAGGGGCAAAAGGTTCAATGTTCCCATATATTTAAGAATGTTGCAGAGCATGATTCATGTGTTCATCTTCTGCATAGAAGACTTGGCCATGCAAGCTTTAAAGTTTTGCAGCAAATGCAAGATTTTGCAAAAGAGCTAAATTTGAAGGGATGCAAAACATATTTGGACTGTGCAGTATGCAAAGCATCAAAGTCAAAGGCATTCCCAGTTAGTAAATGTAGCACAAGACAAACAAAAAGAGCTCTAGAGCTGGTTCATGCAGATCTGGTGGGACCTATGCAAGCCAGTTTGGGAGGAGCAAAATATGCACTGGTAATTGTTGATGATTTTAGCAGGTATTCGTTTTGCTATTTGCTTAGAGCAAAGACAGAGGTGCCACAACAATTCAAACAGTGGGTAAGTTTTGTAGAGAGAAGGTACAGACAACAAGTGTGTCAGTTGCAAACTGACAGAGATACTGAATTTATGTCAACTAAATTACAACAATGGTTGGGGAAGTTGGGGATAAGACACAGACGTACAAATCCTTTCACAGCAGCAGAGAATGGTGTAGCTGAAAGAAGGAATGGTGTTTTGCAAACAATGAAAGATTCATTATTGGAGGATTCTGGTTTGAGCAGGTCATATTGGGGAGAAGCCATATTGACTGCTAATTATATAGTTAACATGCTGTGGAGTTCCTCCATTAATAATACTCCATATGCCATTCTATATGGGAGAAAGCCATCACTGGCACATTTGAGAATTTTTGGAAGTACTGCATGGGTACATATTCAAAAAGCAATCAGAAGAAAGGGACAGCAAAAGGCAAGAAAGCTTAGGTTTGTGGGCTATGAGCCAGGGTCAAAAGGATATCGCTTTAGCGATGGAAGTAAAAGAATTATAATTTCAAGGTCTGCTAATTTTGCAGAACAAAATTGGGACAGAATTAATGCAAATTCTGGGTATGTCTCACTTAATGACGGCGATCTGTTTAGTGACAATAACTCATCTAATGATGAAAAAATGATTATAGAAGATGTCCATGTTCAGGGAGGAGAGGCTGAACAAGACATGAAGCCAGAAAGACTTGAGACACAGGAGCAGTTAATACCACGTAGGTCAGAGCGATGTAATAAAGGAATTCTGCCTGACAGGTATTCTGCCAGCAAGGTAAAGGTTTGCAATGTGTGGTATGAGCCAAGAAGTTATAAAGAGGTGTTGGCATTACCAAAAGCTGAACAAGAAAAATGGAAGGAGGCCATGGATAAAGAGATGAAATCCATGGGAGACCATGAAGTATTTAAATCAGTGACTTTGCCACAGGGAACCAAAGCTGTGGGTTGTAAATGGGTATATAAGAAAAAGGTATCGCCAAATAATGATATACAGTACAAGGCCAGGTTAGTGGCACAAGGTTTTTCACAATTAAAGAATGTGCACTACGATGAAGTATTTGCGCCAACTGTGAAAAGTGAGAGTATAAGATTAGCACTGGCATTGGCAGCGGCATATAAGCATAAAATCTGGCACTTTGATATCACAACTGCATTCCTCAATGCTGAGTTAGAGGAAGAAATTTATATGATCCAAGCACCAGGATATGAAATTGCAAAACCTAACATCGTATATAAATTAAACAAGGCTATTTATGGGCTGAAGCAGTCAGCCAGAAACTGGAATATCTGTTTAGATACTGCTTTAAAGGATCTTGGATTTAAAAGTTGCAAAGCTGATAACTGTATATATATTGGACAGTTACAAGGAGGGAATTGTCTACTGTTATCATTTGTGGATGATCTTTGCTTCATCACAAAGGATGCATCACAAGTCAAAGAATTTGCTGATAAATTAGGAAAGAAATTTGAATTAAAGAATTTGGGAGAAATAAAAAATTATCTTGGTGTAGAGATACAAAAAAATGAAAAAGGTGGTTATATTCTCAGTCAAAGGAGAAAAATTGAGCAGTTATTGGAGAAATATAATATGAAGGATTGCAATACTGCTCCCACACCCATGAGTGCAGACTTTTATAATAGTTTAAGTGCGGACAAAGGTGAAACCTGTGATCAAGAGATATATCACTCAGCAATAGGGAGTTTGTTATATCTATCACAGTGGTCCAGACCAGACATAGCTTGCGCAGTAAGCATTTTGAGTCGTTTTACTGCTGCACCTACAAAGTTACATTGGATAGGTGTAAAAAGGATTCTCAGATATTTAAAGGGAACTATAAATTTGGGTCTTCAAATACAGATTACCGAGGAATTCAAATTAAAGTGTTATGTCGATAGTGACTATGCAAATGACATAAACACAAGGAAATCAAATTCTGGGATTATAATATTGTTTGGAGGGACTCTGATTGGATGGAAGTCCAGAAAACAAACAACTGTTGCTATTTCAACAGCGGAAGCAGAGTTTATTGCTTTATCTGAATTGTGTTCTGAAGTAACATGGTATGTACAGTTGTTGCAAGATTTAAATATTAATGTAAAAGAATCTGTAAAGGTATTTGAAGACAATGCTGCCTGTATAAAAATGGCAACTGGTGACAGGGTGAAGAACAGAAGTAAACATGTAGACATTAAGTATTGTAATGTCAGGGAAGCTGTAAAAGGAAAATTGATTAGTTTACATCATTGTTCTTCTGAGGATAATTTGGCAGACATGATGACTAAACCACTGGGTAATGTTCACTATGGAAAATGTGTAAAGTCAATAGGTCTGATGTCTCTTCCTGTCATGAAGGGAGGAGTGTTGGAATATTCATGAACAGGAAGACTCATGTGGTAA